GCGAATTTCAGAGCATAAATTGATTGTCATTGATTGTTTGGTTTTTGCTGTCAAATGCTGAAGGAGGGATTATTTGACAGTTTATATTTGATGGTGTAAAGTTTCTTAAATCGTGTAATGGTATATCATATAAAGAGTTGGACTTGTTAATTTGTCACTGTCATAGTTAAACTTTGGTTTAGACTCCAACATTTACAATGTTATCAAAATATGTCAATGGATTCACCAAATAACTCGAAAATCAATAATAAAATGAGGGTCTAACAAACAACATTGCCAAAAGAATGTTCAAAATACAATCAACGTAGAGGAGAAAAGGTTTGGTTTTGATATATTTTTTCAAATTTCATATGATGATGGGTAAAAACAAATAAAAAGTAAGCTTATCGAATTGGTCAAAAAATTGAGATGATTGTCAACTTACCAGCAAATGAGATTGGACCCTCGTTGCTTAAGCTTTCAGGTATTGAACCCTCCAATTGATTGTTCGATAAATTAAACACTCTGTTCAAATTCTGGTATGTTTCCTTCAAATCCATTTCCATGCAAGTCCACGTCCAAAAGCCTAGGCAAATTAGCAAGGGATGTAGGAATATGACCCGTGAATCCGTTTTCTGCCATGAATACTCTCTCCAGGCGTTCCACCCCATCAAAAGCATCATCAGCAATATCACCAGAGAATTTGTTATTGCTCAAAAACAATGCCCTTAAACTCACAAGCTTCTTGAATGCAGGCATTGGACCCGCAAAGCTATTGTTAATGACACTAAAACTGTTGAAATTGGACAATTCCAGCAGGGTGTCTACATTAATCCTGCCACTTAGCCACATAGACTTATAGACTCATTCCAGTTCTTTAAAGCATCAGCATTGGACAAGGAGCTTTTGAAGTTGAGCAGAATTTGAGCGTTTGTGTCACCCAATGATGGAAAAAAACAAGTGGCCAACATGAACAACACGAAAAGACAGCAGTGTTCTCTTTTGTGAGACATAATTGGATAGATGAAAACTGAGATAATGTGTTTAGGCTAATGAGGTACGTAGAAAATAGAGAGAATGAGAGAAGAAAGAAGATCAGGAATATTGAGAAACTATAGAGAGTATGCATACGAAAGTAAGATTGAATATGGGGTAACATTGACAAGGTCATTCCTGCAAAGCATAATCTGGTTGGGCGGGCCATATATATGAGTGTTTTGGACCTCATTTTCGACAGACGGATTTCAGAGTGTTTAAGTCATCAATTTCAATAGATTGGTCGTCCCTACAATAAGTTTTTTTTTTTTTTTTTTTTTTTTTGATAACACCCTACAATAAGTTAACAACAAATGAGTCTATGATTTAATTACCAACATTGATTAGATATTAGCTAGCACTCACCACTCTGCAGCTTGATACTATTCAATATTCATGCAGAAGATTTTCCTTACTAAAAAAGAGTTAACATACTTGCCTAAACTATATTATCACAAATTTTTCCAAATTTCAAAATACGCACTCATTTGTTCCATTTTTAATATATATATATATATATATATATTTATATATATATATATGGGATAGGATCAACTTACACACCGGTGTAAGAATAATAAATGTTACACCAAATCTTAATCATTGGATTCCATGCATATACCGGTTGAGATTTATTGAGAATTAAAAATTAATTAATGAGTGAGACCTAGTAAAACTTAACCGTTAGATATAATGGGATATGGTTGAACATGATATTGAAGAAGGCTATGATTTGTTCTATGAAGTTTATTTGTCTCACAGTCATTAGTTAATGAACAAAGGCAACACTTCACACACACACCCTGCAAGTTTTTTTTGTGGTTTATGAATGGGATAACATTTTCTGGTGTCTTGGTTTGTTCGACATCATGCTATGAATAAGATAACAAACTAAAATCGTTGATTTTTGTATTATTACATTTTTTTAATATATATATATATATATATATTATATCTAATAATAACCGTTCGCCCAAAAATATTTTTTTTATAAAATTTAAAGTGTAGTGAATATACAAACCCACTTGTTAAAATTTAACTTAATTCACTAAAAAATCAACGGTAAAGATTGAATTGTAGATCACTTTCAAAATGATTCAGTCACCATACAAATAATATATAAGGAGAATTTCATCTAATTACATTATACAATCACTCATATATTTATCCCTATAATCACACTCAATCATTTCGAATTTCCGATAATTAAACTTGATATCCCTTAATTATGTTTAACTTCACAGCTAAACCAATCAAATCAACAATGGAAAGAAAATATACAATCACCTATAATCAATTTCATAATTAAATTTGATTTCCTTATTATTAAGTTTGACCTTAAATAAAAGGCAATTAGATTTTTTTTATAAAAAAAATAAAAAAATCACCTAAAATCTCCACTAATTCATCTGCCGTTCCTCAATCCTAGTCAATTTTACATATGAAATTTTTAAAGCTTTGTTTAGTATGATTTTAAAGGTAAAAAGGAAAGAAGAAGATTCAGATATGAAATCCATTATTGATCTTTCTTTTCCTTTTTTTTAATTTTTATGTAAAAGATTTGAGGAGAAGCAATTTTTCTAACTCTACGTAGTACGTATAGTTACATGTATTTTGATTCATTTATAACTATTTTTATTATTTTTTATGAAATCCTAAAAGAGAAAAAAAATGTGTATTTTTTACATGCATTATTTTTATTATACCTCTAATATATTTATATTATATCTAACATATGTCGTCTTCGGATAATAAACGAATAATATGCAAAACCACTTATTTTACATTGAAATTTAATTGTTCATAGTAAAAAGGAGCGGTAAAATCCGCAAAATAATTTTTTTACAATTATGAAAGAGTAAGAACGTATGTAAGGATTGTCTTTATTATACTCTTATTAGTCGGTGTTTAACAAGGAGTTGTTTAACATTTTTTAATGTTTAAAAGAAAGGAGCAGTGAGGATTGAACACTAAACTACCAATAGGGGTTTTGATATCAATTTTAAAATAATGATGGATTTTTTCCCCTTAAAGTCTAGGTCACTTGATGATTAAGGAGGATTTTGTCCTATTACACTATACAATGACCCACATTTACAGTCAGGCTCAATCATTCCTATAATTAAGTTTGACATCACAATTAATTATGGCAATCAAAACAAGAGAAGAAAGAAATTATATAATCACACATAATCATTTTCATAATTAATTTGATCTCCAATAATTAAGTTTGATTTCGCAGATAAGGCAATAAAACTAGAAAGAAAAATAACCTAAATGTCAACAAATTCATCCGCTGCTCCTCGATCTTAGTCCATTTTATATACTACATCAGTCTTTGCTAATACTTTCCCAATGCTAAGGAAATAATTTGATCCCAATGCTATGGAAATAATTTGAGAGGATGTATATCTATATGTCTCTCTGTCTGTGAGACAAAATGATTTGTAATGTGACTGCAAATAAGCATTGATGCATTCACCTAGAAACTACATTGTTTTGGGTGGGATAAAGAAAGTTCGTGTTCAAAATTAATTGTAGAAAATGGAAATATTAAATTTATTTTCCCTTTTTTATGGTTATGATTCTCCATATTTAATGCTTTATATTTATTTCCACCATTGTATGATTATAATTCTCCATATTTAATGTTTTCACACTATAAAACCACATAGTTTTATATGACTGTACGAATCCTTAGGTGCAGTTATTGTACATCCACTAAACATTATATATATATATATGTGTATATATATATATATATATATATATATATATATATATATATATATATATATATTTATATGGGTCAGGATCATGGTAGTTAAAATTAGGATTCTACCTAAAATTAGAAGGAGGATAAAAAATCGTAAAACGTAAAATTCTAATGTATAAAAAATCGTAAAAAATAGTTAAAATATAAAAGAGTTTGAAATTTTGATGAAATCGTTTTGAATAAAAAAAATCATAAAATCATATATTTAAATCGAGATTTTAACTATCATGGTCAGGATCATCTTACACCGATGTAAGAATAATAAGTATTACACCAAATCTTAACTATTGATTTTTTGCATCTAACGGTTAAGATTTATTAGGTCTCACTCATTAATTAATATATATATATATATGGGTCAGGATCATGGTAGTTAAAATCGGGATTCTATCTAAAATCGGAAGGAGGATTAAAAAATCGTAAAACGTAAAATCCTAACGTAAAAAAAATCGTAAAAAATCGTAAAAAATCGTAAAAATGTAAAAGCGTTTGAAATTTTGATGAAATCGTTTTGATTAAAAAAAATCATAAAATTGCAGACTTAAATTGAAATTTTAACTATCATGGTCAGGATCATCTTACACCGGTGTAAGAATAATAATTCTTACACCAAATCTTAAATATTGAGTTTTTGCATCTAACGGTTAAGATTTATTAGGTCTCACTCATTAATTAATTTTTAATTCCCAATAAATCTCAACCGGTAGATGCATGGAAATCAATGATTAAAATTTGGTGTAAGATTTATTATTCTTACACCGGTGTATATTTGTGATAATATAGTTTAGGAAAGTATGTTAAATCTTTTTTAGTAAGGAAAATCTTCTTCATGAATATTGAATAGTATCAGGCAGCAGAGTGGTGAATGCTAGCTAATATCTAATCAATGTTGGTAATCAAATCACAGACTCATTTGTTATTAACTTATTGTAGGGACGACCAATCTATTGAAATTGATGACTTAAACACTCTGAAATCCGTCTGTCGAAAATGAGGTCCAAAACACTCATATATATGGCCCGCCCAACCAGCTTATGCTTTGCAGGAATGACCTTGTCAATGTTACCCCATAAATCATTCAATCTTACTTTCGTATGCATACTCTCTATCGTTTCTCAATATTCCTGATCTTCTTTTTTCTCTCATTCTCTCTATTTTCTACGTACCTCATTAGCCTAAACACATCATCTCAGTTTTCATCTATCCAATTATGTCTCACAAAAGAGAACTCTGCTGTCTTTTCATGTTGTTCATGTTGGCCACTTGTTTTTTGCCATCATTGGATGACACAAACGCTCAAATTCTGCTCAACTTCAAAAGCTCCTTGTCCAATGCTGATGCTTTAAAGAACTGGAATGAGTCTATAAGTCTGTGTGGCTGGAATGATATATTATGCTTCAATCAGACATTTCATGGATTGAGACTAGAGAATATGGGACTAAGTGGCTTGATTAATGTAGTCACCCTGCTGGAATTGTCCAATTTCAACAGTTTTAGTGTCATTAACAATAGCTTTGAGGGTCCAATGCCTGCATTCAAGAAGCTTTTGAGTTTAAGGACATTGTTTCTGAGCAATAACAAATTCTCTGGTGATATTCCTGACGATGCTTTTGATGGGATGGGACGCCTGAAGAGAGTATTCTTGGCAGAAAACGGATTCACGGGTCATATTCCTACATCCCTTGCTAATTTGCCTAGGCTTTTGGATGTGAACTTGCATGGAAATAGATTTGAAGGCAACATACCAGAATTTCAACAGAGAGATTTCAGAGTGTTTAATTTATCGAACAATCAATTGGAGGGTTCAATACCCGAAAGCTTAAGCAACGAGGATCCAATCTCATTTGCTGGTAAGTTGACAATCATCTCAATTTTTTGACCAATTCGATAAGCTTACTTTTTATTTGATTTTACCCATCATCATATGAAATTTGAAAAATCTTTTTGTAACCAAACCAAACCAAATCATAACCATATCCCTCTCCTTCAACTCTTCAATCCTAGCCACAGCCTCCCTCCAATCCCACCTACTCCCCAAACTCCATTCACAACAATCCATTCCAATCCTCAACAGCTTCATCATCTCACCCTCACTATTCCTTCTCCACAAAATGTCCTTATCAAACACTTCCCCACTCGACCCTTCCCTCACAACGGAGTTCACCCATGTTGCCAAACACCAAACACCACTCTTCTCACTGGGCCTGTCAAACTGGTTCTACTCTGGGGACTTATAAGCTTCCATGAACTGCTGAGCATGGCTCTTCTCCATCACCGCCATAAGTCCATACTCTGTCAAACGAGGCTCAAATAAATGGTCCAACAAAACATTGGATGATTTAAGATGCCCATGTGGTAGGTCTTGGTCAGGGAACTCTCTGTACAGATAAGCTAACCCTCTAGCCACTCCTTTTATGATCTTCAAACGTGTTGACCAGTACAACTCAGAACCACTTCTACCTGAAAATCAATGTCAACATGAGCCAAAACAGACTTCAATTCCGATTAATATGTATCATTATAATATATTGAAGCAAATCTTAGGAGAATGAACCCTCTCATGTTTCTCCTAACTGTTGGGATAATTTTTAAATGTCTGTTTTAGTTTCTTGTGTCAGTTAGAATATTAATGAGTCAGTTATGTAAATTAGAATATTAATGAGTCAGTTATGTCAGTTATAAAGTAATGAGGGTGTTATGTGTGGAGTTATGTTGGTCAGTTTTATACCTTATAAATAGCCTTTGATAGTTTGTATTAAATGAAGATCAAGAGATCAAGTAGATCAAGAGATCAGTAGATCAAGAGATCAAGATAAAAAGAAAAAGAGCAAGAAAGCAAGAATAGAAAAGAAAAGTTTTTTTGTAGATACACAAGTCTGGTTGTCTCTTGCATTAGATTGGCTTCTCTGTTTGAAGGAACATTTTCGGAAAGAAAAAATCTGGACGGAGGCCAAATGGCAGGTAGCCATGAGAAGACTCAGAGGAAGCGCAATCAAATGGTTCTGTACATGGAACTGTCGCGACTTTAATAATATGTGGAAGGATTTTCTAATGGCCTTCATAACAAAATACTTGCCTGGACGTTTCGATCTGATTAATGAAGAAGATGAAATCTTCAATGATGATGATGAAGATGATGAAGATGATGAGAATGATGCGGATGAAGAAGAGACCGAGATGGCAGAATCCGAGGTTGCCAACGGCAAAGTATCCGTGGAGAAGATCGACGCGTTGGAGCGTGAGAGAGATGAATCAGAGAAAAAGACGATGACTGCGGCTATGGGAGCCGAGATCAAAGATGCTGAGAGCGGCGAGTCAATTCAGAAGCCGGATAGAGAGGATAAGGAAGAAGACGAGATGTCGAAGGAGCTTGAGAAGCCAGCAAAGGAACAAGAAGCGTGGAATCCGAGATGCTTGATGTAGACCGACTTGGAGGAGACTGCGAATCCGAGTCTCATGTTGATAACCAGGATGGGGGAGATCCCGGCTAAATCACCGAGTTCATGTTTTGGAGAAGAGCTCGACCCCGGCGTGATGAGGTTGATGTCGGAGACCGACATAGACGCGGTTCGGGTTGGAAGTCAGAAGTCGGAGACTGCATTGAATTCATGGTGGAAGTGGAAGATGTCGACTCCACCGAAAAGAGACCATTTCCCTGAAGGACGGTGGTCTGAGATTCCATTGATGAGGCGCGTGGAAGCTCTTCTCGATGAAGAAGAACCCGGCGATGAAGAAACTGAGAGCGGAAAAATGGAAGGTGTGATTGTGGATAGGGAACCCGGCGATTAGGAGCCTAGAGTTACTTTTATGGCGGAATCATTTTGGCTCAAGCGTAAACCAGAAGAAGATCGTGGGGCGGAATCAGAAAATGATGAGTTGAGTTATTTGCTTGATGATGGGAATCAACGGTCCTCAATAAGTGATGGGGTTACTGTGGTTGAAGAGGCCCAACGTGCTATTAATGTAGCACATGTTGAATCTGAAATTATTAAAATTGGCATAGGTGTTGTAAAACTAATGGGACGTTATAGTGATACAGATACTGATCAGTATGATGACTTGTGTGATAATCATACGTGTAAGAATGGGATGTGGAAGTATATCGGAGGATGAGGTCGACGGAGAAAAATTCAAGACTGTCTATCTTCCACCAATGAAGGAACCGCCGGACAAAAATAAAATATGTTCAGAAAAATAATTGCAGGGGAGATATTTTCTTTGAGTTAATTAAGTTGGAAGGTGTTAGATGTTTTTTGTCAGTGATCAAGATTGAAGAAAACAGGCGAGATCAGAAAGTTGAAGAAAAGCAGAAGCAACGCGAAGAAAGAAAGAAGAATTTAAAATTTATGGGGGAGTTTTGTTGGGATAAATTTTAAATGTCCGTTTTAGTTTCTTGTGTCAGTTAGAATATTAATGAGTTAGTTATGTCAGTTAGAATATTAATGAGTCAGTTATGTAAATTAGAATATTAATGAGTCAGTTATGTCAGTTATAAAGTAATGAGGGTGTTATGTGTGGAGTTATGTTGGTCAGTTTTATAGCTTATAAATAGCCTTTGATAGTTTGTATTAAATGAAGATCAAGAGATCAAGTAGATCAAGAGATCAGTAGATCAAGAGAAAAAGAAAAAGAGCAAGAAAGCAAGAATAGAAAAGAAAAGTTTTTTTGTAGATACACAAGTCTGGTTGTCTCTTGCATTTGTGTGTAGATACCAAATTCTAACACTAACAAGACTAGGTCATACGAGACATTTGAGTAATCTAATATAAGTTCATACTATAACCATTGACAAATCAAGACGGAGTGAGTAACATTTTGGATAAAAAATGGCAAAAGGATAACCATTGATTTGTTTATACATGACTAAAATCGTCTCACATGACTACATTAAATGAGACAAGAGAGGATCCAATATAAGTTCATACTATAACCATACATTACATTACATTAAATTAAATTGCTAGCTTTTTATATTTGTTCTTATAAAGTGTAAAATAAATTAATTAATGTGGTTATGTCATACCATGGAGATGACTAGCCAAGCTGCCATTTTCAACAAAGTCATGAACCAAAAGCTTATCTTCTTCGTTGTAAAAGAAAGCAACAGGAGGGAGTAGATTGGGATGTGTCAACCTTCCAAGCCTTTTCATGTGCTCAAAGAATTCTTTTTTCCCAAGATTGTTCATATGTTGAAACCTCTTCACGACCATAACTGGTCCATTCAAAACCATGACCTTGGATTCAGCTGTCACCTCAGAGGATCTGACTTCATGTTGGAATTCCAACACTTCACTAGAAACTGCACTATAATTAGATAAAACAGGTGTATATGATGACCTTAGGAAGAAGAAAAAAAATAGTATAAAAAAAAACCATGGCGAATTTCTGAGCATAAATTGATTTGTCATTGATTATTTATTTGGTTTTTGCTGTCAAATGCTGAAGGAGGGATTATTTGACAGTTTATATTTGATGGTGTAAAGTTTCTTAAATCGTGTAATGGTATATCATATAAAGAGTTGGACTTGTTAATTTGTCACTGTCATAGTTAAACTTTGGTTTAGACTCCAACATTTACAATGATATCAAAACATGTCATTGGATTCACCAAATAACTCAAAAATCAATAATAAAATGAGGGTCTAAAAAACAACATTTCCAAAAGAATGTTGAAAATACAATCAACTTGAGAGGAGAAAAGGTTTGCTTTGGTTACAAAAAGAATTTTCAAATTTCATATGATGATGGGTAAAATCAAATAAAAAGTAAGCTTATCGAATTGGTCAAAAAAATGAGATGATTGTCAACTTACCAGCAAATGAGATTGGATCCTCGTTATAACACCTTACATTTCTAAGTTAAATATTTAAAATATTAAGTGAGTATTTAAGTGAAGGATTAGTGAAGATCCTAAAGATTAGGCCAAAATACAAAGAAAGGGCAAAACGGTAATTAGCCAACACGCAACCCTAGGAAGATAAAAATTGAATAGAAGGTCTCAGATGATAAAAATAACCCTGGAAATGGATTCAGAACGAAAAATTGAGTGGACATGCAAGTTTCAGAAAAATCAGTGAATAGTGTTTTTCGCGGGTAAAAATACCGCGGTACGATTGCACCGTAAAACGTGCCAGTTGAATTTTGAGCTCTAGGTTTCAAATATGATTTATAAATGGTCTATAGAACTGGGAAATAGGATTCCTGATAAAATTTGATGGAATTTGGTGAAATTTGATGGAATTAAGTCAGTTTGGGAAAGCGTGCCAATGGCGCGCGCAACAGCTTAAAACAGTGTTTTCTCCGAACGATCGGAAAACTCCGGATTCATCTGACCTAGTATAATTAAAGGAGAATGGTTAATGTTAAAAATTAGTGTTTTTAAATAGGTTGTGAATCCTTGGACGTTTAGTGAAATCGGAAGGAAATTCGGATGAGTTTAGATCACGTGAGGTGGCGTGGGACCCACCCCACTTAAAATCCACTTAAACCACATCATCATTCCATTATTCATATCACCTTCTCTCCCCTTCTTATGCCAAAACCGTGCTCCTCCCCCCAAATAACCCCATTTTTCATTCAAATTTCAATTCCTTCTAAATCCATCATTTCTTAACCAAATCAAGCGATTTTTGTGTTGAAATTTGTTGGAAACAACCTTCCAAACACATTGGTGGTATACATTAACCTTGAAACTCTCTCTTTGGTGAGATATGGGCCATTTACAGCCACGAAATTTTGGAGAAAATTGATGTTCATGGAGTTGTTTTGAGCTCCAATGGTTTAGGATAGCTTGCAGGAGTCTTGTGCCAAACTTTTGAGTAAGTTTCTTCACCATTTTAACGGTTTAATCCTTGGATTGAATTCATGAACCCTAAGGGGGAATTTGATGATTTTTGTTGTTAGAGAGCTCAATTAAAAAATGTGTATTAGATGATAATGTGTTAGAATGATGTGTTAGAGCTAGAAATGCGATGAAATTTATTGGTGAAAAATATGACTTTATAACTTAGAAATTTTGAGGATTTTCATGACTTGGATTTTTGGAAATGTATCAGGATTGATTAATGAGTAGTTGTATGATTATATGATGATATAATGTGGTTGTGTGAGATGTGGAGTGAGTAAAAGTGAATGGAAATCCTAGAATTGCCATAGGTTGCAACTTGGCCTTTAAAGGAAAATTATGGAATTTATGTTGTTGGAAATTGTTTGAGTGATGAATTATGTGTTAAAAAGGTAATTAGATGGGTTGTGTGGTGATTGGCAAGTGGAAGAATCAATGCACAAATAATAAGTGGCTTAGTTGGCATAAAGAACCTAGAGTGAAATATTTCGCAAAACGATGCGTAAATGTCGTAAAACGGAAAAACGACGATTGAACTAGCCTCTAAGCAACCTAAGGAAGCGTTATAAAATGAGAAAGAAAATTTAGAAAAATAAATCCCCAAATAACACATAGATGGCCGAACCTTCAAGGAGAAAATGGGGGATTTTGCGGTTTTCGCGTTCTGATGTAATTCGACGCGAAAATGACGAAACGACACTTGAATTGGCCTCTTGACAACCTAATGAGGCGTAATAAAATGAGAAAGAAAATTTAGAAAAATAAATCTCAAATTAACACTAGCTTGGCCGAACCTTCAAGGAGGAAGGGGAGGATTTTGTGATTTTTGTGTTTTGATGCTTTTTGACGCGTACTGATGGATGTACGTAATTGTATAGGTTGCCGTACGTTGACTTGAACCCCGAAACTTGAATCTGGGAGTTGCCCTTGGTACTGGACCAAGTGGATTGAGGTATGTAATTGGTTCAATGCATGTATAATTGTAAATTAGCATGTATTGTTTGAATTATAAGAGATTGGGAATGTCCTCTGTGTAGGCATCCTGTTGTGTACCAAGTTGAGGGATAAGCTACTGCGGAGCTAGTGAGGAAATTACTTAAGGTAACCTCTTGGTACTGAGGCTTGTTTCGCTTTTCTGTTCCACCTTGCCAGTTGATGGCAACGGTAGCAAGTGTGTATGAGTAGTATAGAACACATGAGCATGCATGCATTATTACTATGGGTACTTATGTACCGAGTCTCTGGCCAGTAGACAGTTTTATTAGCCTGCGGGCAGTTTCGGACTTCCGCTGGATAGGTCTCCGAGAGGGAGTTCCAGTTGACCGTGGGTCATAGTGTGTGATCCGGATAAGAGCACACTAGGAATGTCTCAGGTGTTATGGATGGAATGGGTACCTTGGTGGTAGTGATCTGATCACACCTTGGATTATACCCGATGGAATGGGTACCTTGGTGGTAGTGATCTGATCACACCTTGGATTATACCCGATGGTATGGGTACCGGGGTGGTAGTGATTTGATCACACCTTGGGTGGACCCGATGGAATGGGTACCAGGGTGGTAGTGATTTAATCACACCTCGGGTGGACCCATAGGCTTATATATGCCAGGGCGTGCGTGGTATGGGTAGCTACTGTAAGAACCCGCACTGTTAATTAAGGAATTTAATTAATAAATTACGAGAAAATAGGAAATGATTCCATAATTGACCATAATAATTATTTATGAGGCTTAATAATCGTAATAAGTGATTAAGAATACTGAAAGTCACTTTTCGGAAGAAAAGTGCAGATACCGGTTCTGCTAGTCAGTATAAATGCGTGCCGAAAAAGTATCCCGGAAAATTAATGTAAGTGCATGATAATTACTAGAATAATATGTAGGACTTGTAAAACGAGTTTCAAGTCCAGATAATGAGAACTGGTGCTGGAAACCGGTACTGGCTTGGAAAAGCGCGTACCAGAAAAGTGCTCAGAAAATTATAAGAAAAATATGATAAATCTTAGAAAATTATGCAGTTTCATAATCCAAAGTTTGGGATTAAAATGCTAAGCGTAGCAATTAAAGTTAATACTGTGTGTTTAAGTGCGTTTGGGCTATAAATACCCTTGTTAAGGGCACAAAGCCCTAGGTTTTCTGTTGCTACGTGAATGCTGGAGTGGCTGGTCAGTTGCTACTATTCCATTGAGCTTTCTTCACCATTTTGGAGATCAAGTGTCAATTTTGCTTGGTTTCTTCACCTCCAAACACTTGAGCCTTGTGTGAGTGACCTTTGTGAGTGTGTAGGGAGTTGTGGTCCTGAGTTGAAGGAATGTTTGAAGTCAGTTTGTGGGCTGAGTGGTCTTGTGTGAGGGTGAGAGCTTCCTACTTGGCTTGTGAAGCTTCAAGAAGCTTCTTTGTGAAGAAAGGACCAACCTTTGTGTTGCATTTTCGTACACCTTATTTCCAGAACCTGTAGAGGCAGTGTGGTGAGCTCCTTGAGCCATTGATCCTCTGTTTTGATCTTTGGTGAGTTGTACCTACCTTGAGCTTGTGTTTTAATGGATTAAATGTGTGATCTTTGCATGTTTAAAGGATTAATCAAGTAACTAACTGAGGTGTGGACCTTAATCAGTATAAAGATGCATGCTTTAACGTAAGTAAGTGTTAAAAATGGAACCTTGGAAGGATATCTTCACGAAATGCATTTTCTGCATTCTGTCGTGAAATATCTGGATATGTGCAAGATGAATATCCGGATATATGATATCCGGATATGGGTTTTGTGTATCCGGATAATAGATATCCGGATATGGGATTCTGGATATCCGGATATTGCATATCCGGATATGTCCAGTGAGATATCCGGATATTGAATATCCGGATATGGTCCCGAGGAATATCCGGATATTCTGGGATTTCGTAGAACAGTAGCTGTGCTGTGTGTACAGTAGGCTATTGGGGGTTTGTGGACCCTAGATTGATGAAGTTGAACTTCTGTAATTAATGAACTAAGTCAAACTTAAGTGATTAAGGACTTATGGCTTGGTATGGAGCCTTAAGACGTAAAACGTAAGGAGAGGCGTTGTCTTTAAGTTATATGCTTGTGTTGCATTATTATTGATATAATATTGGTCCATAACAGATTGTGAATCTGCTGTGTTTGGACTTTGAGCTGTGGACTCTTGGCTTTTGGGGTTAGCTTGCAAGGTAAGCTTTCGTGTCCTCGGTTTAGCCATGTTGTGGTTCCACCATGTCCCATGGGGGTATGGTTTATGCATGTTGTGTACATGCTTTTGGATATTTGATATGTTGATTGAACTTTACATGTAATGGCTTTTAATATGCATGTGTTGTTTCATCTTGACGGGAAGCCTGAGTATGTAGCGCCATACAAGATGGTGTACCGGGGTGAATGCAAGTGGTACTTGTACGGTGTGTAGGTGATAGACGTATACCTGCATTGTCTCTGGCCA